ACAAGGCGCCTGTGGCTTGAGTGGCTAAGGCGCCAGCCATATACACCTAAGGTGGCGGGTTCAAATCCAGCCCAGGCCCGCCAAACAGTAATGATGGGTGCAACCAAAAAATAGCCAGGCGTTGTGGCGGGCACCTGTAGTCCCAGCTACTTGGGAGACGGAGGCAAGAGACTCACTTGAGCCCAGGAGTTGGAGGTTACTGTGAGCTGTGATGCCACAGCACTCTACCCAGGGTGACAGCTTGAGGCTCTGTCTCAAAAAAAAAAACAAAACAAAAACAAAAACAACAAAACAAACAAACAAATTTTTAAAAAAGCCCTAAAGTATTTAATGGTATAGTAAGACTTAGCTAAATAAATTACAGCATAACAAGATAATGGAGTATTATGAGCGTCTTAAAAAGAATAAGGTATTTCAACTATGATTCCAAGACAACTAAAATGGGGAAAGAATGATCTTTTCAGCAAATGGTGCTGGGATAACTGAATACTCATATACAAAAAAGTAAAATTTGGATTCCCTAAACCTCACACCATAATTGAAAATTAACTCAAATGGACAGAAAAATTAAATGTAAGAATTAAAATGATAAAATTCTTAGGAAAAAATGTATAAATCTTCATAACCTTGAATTTGGCAATGGATTCTTAGATATGACAACAAAACCACAGGCAATAAGAAAAAAAAAGATAAAATGGACTTCATCGAAATTAAAAACTTTAGTGCTTTGCAGGACACCATCAAGAATGCAAAAAGAAACCAAGAGAATGGGAGAACATATCTGCAGATCACACATTTGATAAAAGAACTGTACCTAGAATTTATAAAGAACTCATATAACTCAACATTAAAGGGACAAAATAACCATTTTTACATGGACAAAGGGTTTAAAAAGACACTTTCCCCCCAAAAATATACAAACAACCAATAAGCACACGAAAAGGTGCTCTACATCATTAGTCACTGGGGAAATACAAACCAAAATCACAATGAGACACCATTTCACACACACAATAGGACACCTAGAACCAAAAAGTCCTAACAATGTTGGCAAAGACAGGGAAAGTGAATTCTCACACAGCGCAGAGGGATAGGACAAGAACAAAGTGGATCCTTATACAGCGCTGTTGAGGATACACAGCGCAGGTGGGAACGTAAGATGGTGCAGGTGCTTAAACAGCTTGACGGCTCCACAAAAAGTTAAACAGAGAACTACCATGTGACCCTGCAATTTTCCTCCTTAGATATATAGCCAAAGTAATTAAACAGGTATTTAAGCAAAAACTGCCACACAAATGTTTACAGAAGCACTATTCACAACAGCCAAAAGATAGAAACAACCCAAAGACCCACCAAACTGATGATTAAACAAAACACAGTATATTCCCACAAAGAAATAGCAGTTGTTTGACATATTCATTATAGTGTCTTCCCTGCTGAAATCAGGTCTCCATTCAAATTCTGGGGACTTAATTCAGTTCCCCAGACTATACTGAGTTCCATCATATGTTAGAAGTGCTTTTTTATCTTTGAACATCATAGTAGCCAATTTAATTTTTTAAAACACTAAATCTCTTCGTGACTAGCACGTTAAAAAACTCAACTCCCTGAAAAGGATACATGACACCTCCCTTCCTCTCTTTCTTTCTGCTTACAGAATTTCTCTTCCTTTGAAATAACACACACATCCTAGCACTCTGGGAGGATGAGGCAGGTAGATCGTTGAGCTCAGGAGTTCGAGACCAGCTGAGCGAGAGTGAGACCCCATCTCTACCAAAAAATAGAAAAAAAAA